CTCCCTTTTCAAATCTCGTATCACATCGTAAAGGCATTTATTTTCAATAAAAATTAAGGAAATAATCAAAAAGTTGAAAATAAAGTATCGGGTAGGTATAGGGAGGGCTTTATTGTACCAATAAGGTGGCATCCATTTAATAATTAAAATTATAATTTACACTCAATACGTTATTATTGCATACCGTTTTATAATGTACTACAATACTGATGTGCAGATAATTGCCACTATTTGCAACAAGTAGTATACTTGATAGTAGAAATCCTGCTATTTTAACATAGTGTAAATAGGTATATGCACTTAGTGTAAATAGGATATTGCTAAAAAATACTGCTATTTTCACTTAATGTAAATATAATCTATTGCTAATACGAGATTTGAAAAGGGAGAAAAATAAAAGTTTGGCAAAAGGTGGGATCGAACCCCAGTCGATCGCGTCAAAAAGCCAAGGGCACGCGCTTATCCATCTGCACCACTGGAGCTGATGTTTTATGGCCACTTTTAACTAAATGTAAATATACACCCCGTATTTTATATTCCAATTAATACAATACATTTAAACTGAGCTACTTTACTACCATCTCCGAACTTTCTACTACGACTCTGCTGTTCTTCCTGTACAAGTTGATTGACAGATGTCTCGTCCAGTCAGCGGTGAGTAATCCTAAACCAATGGCGCTGTCTCAAACTATACCTACCCTTTCCGGTTTGTCTGATTTGTCGTTGTGTTTTCTGACTTGTTATTTTGTTTTCTAATTTGTCATTGTGTTTTCTGAATTGTTTTTGTGCTTTCTGAATTGTTATTTTGCTTTTTAGACTTGCATTTGCGTTTGTAATTTGTTATTTTGTTTTCTAATTTGTCATTGTGTTTTCTGAATTGTTTTTGTGCTTTCTGAATTGTTATTTTGCTTTTTAGACTTGCATTTGCGTTTGTAATTTGTTATTTTGTTTTCAGAATTGTGATCTGCATTGCACTTTACGCCCACCGTAGTATTCTAATGAGCAGAACCGTGAACAGCAGGGGGAGCTGATCATAGATCAGAAGCAACAGGTACAAAACTGCCTTGAATCTAGCTCTGAATAAACTGCTTCACATTAAAAAACAAAATAAACAGTTATTGAAATGGTAATAATGCTGTACATGGACCACAATTCCAAAGACCGATCGAACAAATGCTGCTAACGCACTTTACAGTATGAAAAAAAAAAAAAAAAACCTTCAAGGGCTAGTTCACCCAAAATTTGTAATTCTGTCATTAATTACTTACCCTCATGTCGTTCCAAACCTGTAAGACCTTCATTCATCTTAAGAACACAAATTAAGATATTTTTGATGCATCCCGAGAGCTCTCTGACCCTCCCATAGACAACCGTAATTTTACGAAGCTACAAGAATACTTTTTTTGCGAAAAAAAAAAAAAGACTTTATTCAACAATTTGTCTCCGCGTGGCGCAGCTGACACAGAACAGCATACGCTGTTTACGTCCAGCGGATACTCTCCAAAATGGCGCTACAGGGTGACATGGAGGAGATGAATTTGAATAAAGTCGTTTTTTTCTTTCTTTTGCACACAAAAAGTATTCTCGTAGCTTCGTAAAATTACGGTTGAACCCCTGATGTCACATGGATTATTTTACCGATCTCCTTGCTACCTTTCTGGACCTCGATCGTGTAAGGATCCTTGCTGTCTATTGAGGGTCAGAGAGCTTTCAGATTCCATCAAATATATCTTAATTTGTGTTCCGGAGATGAACGAAGGTCTTACGGGTTTGGAACATCATGAGGGTGAGTAATTAATGACAGAATTTTCATTTTTGGGTGAACTATCCCTTTAAGTAGCGTCAACATGAATGCATTTCCGTGTGCAAAAAATTAAAACAATCTATCAAGTGAACTAAATCTGAAGAATTAATGTTGTATTATGGTGAAGCAATATAAAATAAATTATATCCATTTACCAAAACAAGTTAAAAAGTAATGATCTATTATACTAGTAAAAAGAATTAAAACTCATCATGTCGAACTAAAGCCTCCCCAAAGTCAGTCGCTTGACTTCCCACAAACAAATCGTACTTGTTGAGTATTTCCTCTTTGGTGAGTTTGCCATCCTGAAAGACAGTGTGACAGACAGTTGAAATGATTTCAGTTATAACTTACGAAAAGCTGACAAAGTAAGTTTTTAAGGTTGGCTCACCTTGTTCGTGTCAGACTCGTACACCAGATGCTTGGCTTCGGCTTCTGCGTGGTCGTAGTCAGCCGGCAGGATCCAGTCCATGGTCTCATCTTTGTCCATCTTCCCATCCTTGTTCTTGTCTCTAAACTCTGAAAACTGCTCTCGCTCTGTCGCCACCCATTCTGGCTCGTCCATTTCATCCTCATGGTTGTACATGTCGCCTGATATTCAAGAAAATTCAACTGATGTTAAGCTATACTGACAAATTGACATTTTTATGCAATGCAAGTTGACTAGATTTTGTAAGAGAGTTTTCAATTTAAAATATATCTAATACCGTATTTCACTCACCAATATACTCCTTCAGGTCGATAAAACCATCACCATTCTTATCAATATCCTCCATAGTTTCCTAATGATAAAATGAACAAATTAGTGAAATAGGTTACAGAAAATCCAGACAAAGCCTAGTAACTATATAAAAATCAAAATGATCCAGTTATTGTCCTTTATACATGTTCCTGGTCTTATGTCCAAAATGCATCGGTGCACATGATAAAGGAAAAGGATGTTTGTCATTTATTTTTTTCCTCAAATTTCCTTTCATTTGATGCCACCAATTCCCAATGGATAAAATGAGGCCACATCCAACATTTTACACCATTACACATGTCATTCAAATGACCAACTATCATTTTTTTGCAAGGAATTCATGCTTTTATTCAGCAAGTATGCATTTATTTTGATTGAGAAATTGAGAGTAAATCCATTTATATTGTTAAAAAGGATTTCGGTTTCAAATAAATCCTGTTTGTTCTGAACTTTCTATTCATTAAAGAGGCCTGAAAAAGCACAAGCACTATGCAGCACAACTGTTTTCGATATTGAAAATAATAAGAAATGTCTCTTGAGCACCAAATCAGCATCTCAGAATGATTTCTGAAGGATCATGAGATACTGAAGACTGGAGTCATGGTAAATTCAGCTTTACCATCACAGGAATAAATTATATGATAAAATATATTAAAATAGAAACAGTTACTTTAAATTGTAATAATATTTCAGAATAGTACTGTTTGTACTGAGTTTTTGATCAAATAAGAGCAGACTTCTGTAAAAAATATGACCGCTCTACAGTTTTAAGTAGTAGTGTATGTCTGAGTTTACATTAGAAAAATAGGATACAAACAGGTTTCACATTAACTTTAACTTGGGATAGAACCGACATGCCAATAATAACAGACCCACCAACACAACAATGTCTTTCATATGTTCATACTCCTCAGGATGGAGGAAAGCAGTGAACTCCTCTTTGTCAGCGATGTGGTCTCCATTTCCATCAGCCATTTTGAAGCGCCGTTCATCTCTAGCCATCATCTGCTTGTAGTTGTAGCCATCATCAGACTCAGGATCATCTAGAAAAACACAGACAGTGCAAATGATTCAATTATTAGAACAAACGATTATTAAAATACTTATTATTGCAATTCTGCTTGGTGACAACAGTGGTATAAAAACTACACTTTCAATGCAATTCAAGTTTATTTCTATAGCGCTTTTCACAAAACAAATAGTTGCAAAGCAGCTTTACAGAATATTAAGTTTCTACAATATGTTTAGTAGTAGCTTGTCAGTGGTGACTGTCAAATTGATGTACATATGGCACACACTTAACCTTAATATTTTTAAAGTGGTAGACAAAAATAAAAATTGTCATAATTTACTCAACCTCATGTTTTTTCAGATCTGTATGACTTTCTTTCTTCTGTGGAACGTAAAAAATATATTTTGAAGAATGTTTCAACTGTTTTCGTTCATAAAATGAAAGTCAGTGGGGTTCAAAACAACACTGGACCCTGAACTTTCATTATATGAACCTTTTTATTTTTTTCAAAACATCTTTCATGTTCCACAGCAGAAGGAAATACATACAGGTATGGAACTACATGTGTGTGTGTACATTTCCATTTTGGGTGACCAATTCTTTAACCTTGTTTATAAAAACAGACTGCATTTTTACCAAGGTAGGTGCCATATGTGACATTCTTGTATTCGTCCCAGGAGATCATGCCATCATTATTCATGTCAAAATCCTTCCATTGTCTTTCCACATTGTCATAGATGTACTTCTTCTGAGCCTTTTTGATCCATGCTTTCAGCTCAGCCTCTGTGACGAAGCCATCCTCGTCTGCATCGATCTTATCCACAATTTTACTGAAAGGCAGCACAAAAAGAGTAAAAACATAGAGGTATAAATTAACTAGAAGAGTGCGTTTACTCTTAATCATTTATTTCATATTGAAATGACCAACTCGCAATGAAAATGAATGACTTCCGGTCATCTTCTTGGTGCGAATCACTACTAAATCCCCCTCAACACTCAGCACAATCCTTACCCAAGCCTATTCTTGCTTTCCTCTGGGGTCAGGTCATCAAACGTCTTAGCTTCATTCTCCCCAAGGAAGGCATCGTGGTCATAGTCAAAGTTTGTGCCGTCGTCATGCTCTTTGCTGCTCAGTGGTGCATCGTGGTGGGCACGGTCCTTCTTTTCTGTGGGTTTGCTGGTGGCGTAGACCACGCACAGAGCAAAGCACATCAACAGAGGCCTAATCTCCATCTTCATCACATAAGCTCTGGTGAAAGAGAGAGCAAATATTAACATATATATATACACTTACCAAATTCCACTAAAATAAATACTGATCACAGGAATTTCTGATGTGGCAACGTTTAAATAATCCAACGTGCAAACATACTTTTACGTGTTTCAAGGTCTGTTTGAATCAGTGAATGTAAACACTGCGTATGTTTGAGCAAGAAGTGCGACATTCACTACGTCCTTCTTTTCTGTGGGTTTGCTGGTGGCGTAGACCACGCACAGAGCAAAGCACATCAACAGAGGCCTAATCTCCATCTTCATCACATAAGCTCTGGTGAAAGAGAGAGCAAATATTAACATATATATATATATATATACACTTACCAAATTCCACTAAAATAAATACTGATCACAGGAATTTCTGATGTGGCAACGTTTAAATAATCCAACGTGCAAACATACTTTTACGTGTTTCAAGGTCTGTTTGAATCAGTGAATGTAAACACTGCGTATGTTTGAGCAAGAAGTGCGACATTCACTATCGTTCAACGTTTAGGGTTGGTAAGATTGTTTAATGATTTTGAAAGAAGTCTCTTATGCTCACCAAGGCTGCCTTTATTGGATCAAAAATACAGTAATATTGTGAAATATTACAATTTAAAATAACTATTTTCTAATTTGATATATTTTACTGTCATTTATTCATGTGATGTCAAAGTTGAATTTCCAGCAGCCATTACTTTAGTCTACAGTGTCACATGATCCTTCAGAAATCATTCTAATATGCTGATTAGCTTCGTATTATCAATCAATGTTGAAAAAAGTTGTGCCAATCAATATTTTGTGGAAACCAGGATTCACTGATGAATACAAGGAAGAAACATTTATTTTAAATAGAAACCTTCTACAACATCATAAATGTTTTACTGTCACTTTAGGCCAATTTAATATGTACTTGCTGAATAAAATGAATTGTATAAAGTGTATAAAAGATAAATAAATTAAAAATATTGACCACAATCTTTTGAACGTCAGTGTAAATGTGTGTAACAACTAGGGAAAGATAACAATCCTAACAATATTACATAATTTTAGACTCAATCAGTAATTAGTCACACCAGAAATAAATCACATATTAGAATTACATAAACAGCTTCATTAGGATTTACAGTAACTTATAAGAAACAGCTAGATGTTCCTGCCTTTCAAAGTAACGTTATACAATAGCTATTTACTACTTGTTAACCAACAATTATAACAGACATGATCAGATAATCTAAGCAGCACAAACAAAGGAAAAAATGACCTTACAGCACATTTAAGATGAGATGGTCACTATTCACTTTTATTGTACGAAACAAGACGCAATGAAAGTGAATTGTGACTGGGGCTGTCAGTCTTCTAACATTATAGTTTTGATTTCCACAGATGAAAGGAAGTCATAGACATTTATAACAACATTGGGGTAAGCAAATGATGACGAAAAATGTAGTATTTTGGTAAACTATCCCTTTAACGTTCAATACTAACGGTCCCTTTAAGTGATTCGGCATTACAACGTTACACGGTCAGTCAATGCAGTGGTCAAACACATTACTAAAGACCAAACATGCAAAAGCGTATCAAAACGTGTATAAAATACAAACATACCTAGATTTAATACGAGGCCGAGAATCCCAGACACAATACAGGGTCTTTGGTTTACTCTGCACACCCCTGTGCCACACCGTTTTTCGGACTAGCGATCCAATCACAGCGCAAACAGTGGAGTCCGTTCACTGCCATTGGGCCACTTCAGCACAACAAACCCCTGATGTATTGGTGTATTGATGCAACCCGTTGTTTAAAAATGCGCAGAACTCATCGCGCTCTCTTTTGATTGGCTACAGGGCATCGGGAAACCAATCAGCGCCGAGGCTTCACACAATCGGTTGATGCATCGCTCGAGGCCGTCTTATTGGGTACGTCTTGCCACGTCCCCAAATTTGAGAGACCCGCAAATTCTCGCGGAAAGGTGCTGCCATCCTTGTACTGAACATTATTTGTAAAAGTGATGAATGGCGTATCAGCATCGAATTTTAATGGTTGGATTACCTTACTTTAACTGATGCCAGGTTTAGGTTTAGCTGTTTTAGCCATTCATTACGCTACTTGTCATTTAAAGCCACTAGCTAGTTAGTAAGTTAGTTAGTAAGTAAGTTAGTAGTAGTGGCGAAATTATAATGTATTTATGTTTATTACGGGATGCTTTTCTAAATATGCCAGGTTTAGGTTTAGCTGTTTTAGCCATTCATTACGCTACTTGTCATTTAAAGCCACTAGCTAGTTAGTAAGTTAGTTAGTTAGTAAGTAAGTTAGTAGTAGTGGCGAAATTATAATGTATTTATGTTTATTACGGGATGCTTTTCTAAACTGTTTAGAAAAGCATCTGCTGTTTAAACACAATAATCAGTGTCAGCTACAAGCAAACAAACAAAAGCAACACTTTATTTTAAGGTGTCCTTGCTACACGTTACATGTACTTACTTACTTAGTAAACCTTAATTATGCATAATTACATGCAAGTAACCCTAAGCCAAACCCTATGTGAGCCTGGACCACAAAACCAGTCATAAGAGTAAATTATTTTTGAAATTGAGATTCATACATCATCTGAAAGCTGAATAAATAAGCTTTCCATTGGTGTATGGTTTGTTAGGATAAGACAATATTTGGCCGAGATACAACTATTTGAATAATCTGGAATCTGAGGTTGCAAAAAAAATATATATATATTGAGAAAATCGCCTTTAAAGTTGTCCAAATTAAGTCCTTAGAAATGCATATTACTAATCAAAAATGAAGTTTTGATATATTTATGGTAGGAAATTTACAAAATATCTTCATGGAACATGATCTTTAGCCTACTTAATATCCTAATAATTTTTTGGCATAAATTATTTTATAATTTTGACCTATACAATGTATTTTTGGCTATTGCTAATACCCTGTGCTACTTATGACTGGTTTTGTGGTCCAGGGTCACATATGTAGTTGATTAATATTACTCAGTACTTAAATGTATAATTAGACTGTAACAAGGACACATTAAAATAAAGTGTAACCCCAAAATATAAGCAAACAAGCAAACAGATGTAATAAAAAATAACTGTAATAAATTAGTAAACTAAATGCAGCATTAATTACACTTTCATTGCGGAAAACATGACCATGACACTAACCTGATGTAATACAGAACAATATTACATGAAAAACCCAAAAGCATAGCTTTCTTGTAATTTTTCATTTATTCCAAGATGACAGAGAAGTTATGTTTACAGTTTGTGCATGTGCAGTCATGAATGGAAAAATTGCCAAGAAAAACAATTGAAATATTGATCTTTTGTGGAATCTGAAGCAAAATACCAAATATAATGTTCGTATATATATATATATATAGTCATTTAGCAGACGCTTTATATATATATATATATATGTCAGCTCTTTTTGTATACGTTTTAAGTTTAAAGGATACTTCTTTTATTTGTGAGAAAGGATGTTTTGCTGAAAAGACCAGACCCCCCCCCCCCTTTAATTTATCACACAAACTTTACCACAAAGAAAATCTAATCTAATCAATGGGAGTAACATAACAAATGACACTAGGTCAAGGTCAGTTTATTTATATAGCACATTTAAAAACAGCTAGTGTATGCCAAAGTGCTGTACATATACCAATAATGTAAATGTAGAGATTAAGAGAATAAAAAGAAATGACTCAAAAACACATAATCAATACAAAACACATTAATATACACAAACATACATTTCATCCAAAAGCCAAGGAATACAGATTACAGTCTTGAGGCGGGATTTAAAAACAGGAAGGGAAGGCGCAGATCTAATGTCCAGAGGTATGCTGTTCCATAGTCGAGCACCGGCAACAGAAAAAGCCCGATCCCCCTTCAATTTCAAGCGAGAGCGAGGTGTATGCAAGAAAAGTTTATCAGAGGATCTGAGAGAGCGAGAGGATTGCTGATAGCTGAGAAGTTCGGACAAGTATGATGGGGCTAGATCATTTAATGCTTTATACACAAATAATAAAATCTTAAAATGGATCATATGCTGCACCGGTAACCAATGAAGAGATGCTAGGCCAGGAGAAATGCTTTCTCTCCTCTTAGTACCAGTCAGCAACCTCGCGGCTGTGTTCTGGACTAACTGCAAGCGATTCAGCGATGAATGATTGAGACCCATATAAAGAGACACTATACTACACATACACACACAGCGCAGTACAGCGTCATAACAAATCGGCTTACAGTCGTGCGCATGCGCGTATCGTGGGACGCTGCAGCCCTCACCAAGGTAACAGCAAAGCCTGAACCGAATCTGATCTCAAGCGTGTAACAAAAACACTTCTTTTGTTCATGGATCTCTCTGTGCATTAGTCGCCACTGAGACTCAGACTCAAAATGCCTGTCCGCTTTAAGGTATGTTAATTAAATTATTTATTACATATTAAATTGTTTATAACACAATACAACCATATTTGAAGGTGCACGCGCTCGTGCGACGTCATTTGTTTGAGGAACAGAGAGCGCGCGCTGCAGGCTGCAAAAATGCTTTCAGTTTTGAGATTTGTTTTGGGTGTTTACATTTAGGTAACTAAATATACATGAATACGAATCCTTGTAAGATATAGATTACGCGTTGCCGAAAACAAATAGATACACTTATAGAACATTATGTGGTTTTATTAAGACACGACTTAAACGGTAAACCCTTTACAAGTTACCGTCGATAAATTACTTCCTGTTATGTCTTGAAGAAGTTTGTGCGCCGATTAAAAGGCATCAAGATTATCCAGTTGTCACATAAGAGCTAGTTATTAAGCACGGGTTAAGCATGGCTTTTCTGATAAATCACAGATCATTTCCTAGACCTCTCATTTGAATATGCAGATTGTATAACATACCAAATGCAAAATGTGCGATACTTATGCTATAAAGATCTAGCACTGCCTTAATCCTCCTGGGCATGGAATTCACCAGAGCTGCACAGGTTGTTGCTGGGATCCTCTTCCACTCCTCCATAATGATATCACAGAGCTGCTGGATGTTAGACACATGGTGCTTCTCCACCTTCCACTTGAGGATGCCCCACAGGTGCTCAAAAGGGTTCAGGTCTAGAGACATATCTGGCCACTCCATCACCATCACTGCCACTTCACCTTCAGTTTTCTCAGCAAGGCAGTTGTCATCTTGGCGATATGTTTGGGGTTGTTATCGTGTAGGAAAACTGCCGTTCGGCCCAGTTTCTGAAGGGAGGGCATCATGTTCTGCTTCAGAATGTCACAGTACATACTGGAATCCATGTTTCCCTCAATGAACCGCAGCTCCCCAGTACCAGCAGCACTCATGCAGCCCCAGACCATGATGCTACCACCACCATGTTTGATTGTAGGCAAGACACAATTTCCTTGGTACTCCTCACCAGGACGTCGCCACACATGCTGGACACCATCTGAGCCAAACAAGTTTATCTTAGTCTCATCAGACCACAGGACATGGTTCCAGTAATTCAAGCTCTTGGACAGGTTGTCTTCAGCAAACTGTTTGCGGGCTTTCTTGTGAGCCAGCTTTAGAAGAGGCTTCCTTCTGGGACGACGGCCATGCAAATTGACTTGTTGCAGTGTGCGGCGTATGGTTTGAGCACTGACAAGCTGACCTCCCGCTTCTGCAACCTCTAAAGCAATGCTGGCAGCACTCATGCGTCTTGTTTTTTGAAGCCAGCTTCTGTACCTGACGCACAGCACGAGGACTCAACTTCTTTGATCGACCCTTGCGAGGCCTGTTCCGAGTGGAACTCGTCTTAGAAAATCTCTGTATGACCCTGGCCACTGTACTGTAACTCAGTTCCAGGGTGTTACAGATCTTCTTATAGCCTAGGCCATCTTTGTGGAGAGCAACAATTCTAATTCTCAAATCCTCAGAGAGTTCTTTGCCATGAGGTGCCATGTTGTACATCCAGTGGTCAGTATGAGAGAATTGTACTTAAAGCACCTAATTTTAACTGCTCTAATACAAGATACACAAATTTGTATGGTCCTGTCAAGCAGACAAAAACATGAACATGATGAATAGGACATGTGGTTTTGCATGGTTAAATGACATACAGCTGTTATCATTTAGGGTGTACTCACTTTTGTTGCCAGCTATTTTGACAATAATGGCTGTATCTTCAGTTCTTTTTAGTGCTTGCTATACAAGCAGCACATTGACTACTCTAAAATATATCCATGTTTCATTTCTATAGTATTGTCCCTTAAGAAGATATACTAAAATGGTTGCTGAAAAGTGAGGGGTGTACTCACTTTTGTGAGATACTGTATATATATTGAACTGTTTATTTAAAATACTTTATATTAAACTAACAATAATTACATATAGAGAGCAAGAACACTTTCTTTCTGAGTAGCATCTTGTTATCAGAATGCCATAGTCATCAGGGTCATTACTCCTTTTTTGTTTTGAATTATTTAATGTCTGTTTTAGATGTTGTACAGTACCAACAGAGCCATCCCACCCTTCAAATCAAACCCAGTAATTATGGAGAGTGAGTACAAGAGAAATTTCAAAGGATCACCTCCTCCCAGACCACCACGCCTGAGGCGAGATGTTGAACAACACGAGGTCCCGCAGCTTGATGTAGATAACACAACCCCAGAGAAGGTACACAGAAATATCTACATTCAGCTTTGTCACATACGTCAATGTACACAGACTTTCCAAATATCACTGCATTACTATGGAGCGGGATAAACCAGTTTCACTAACGTGTTAGTTCCTCGTAATTTTTCACACATTCTATATGCATAGTCCTCATTGTATAGTAAGGAAGTATACATTAAGAAAATGTTTGCACCTTTGACGTGGTTTGTTATGTGCTTTTGCCTAAATGCCCGCCATGCCAGAGTACGGGGAACAAGAAGAAGAAGAAAAAGAAGGAGCAACAACAGAGCAGAAAGTCAAGCCCCGAAGAGGAAGTCACCCATCGACGACAGCAACAGGAAGTGTGGTCACCCTGCGCTCTGAGAGACCATTCGCCCAATGTTATGAGGTGACTGTTGTATTTTTTATTTTTTTGTACAGGACTAGGAAAACAATACAGAAACAAAACTCACAAGGCCTGTTTCACACATTTTGCATCAGCATCACATAAGCACCACACATATATTTTAATGTCCATATGATATACAACAGGTTACATTTAGATTTTTCACAAATTCCACAAAAGTATTTACCAGTGTGTCCGTCTTTGTCTGCCTGACAGGAAAGGGAAAACTGAGTACAGATCCAACTTTCGTTCTCCCCTCCAATATAGTTACAGAGATGGAGCATGGGTGAAGATTAAAACTGCAAATGAGGAGGTGAGCTTCTGGAAACCAAAACAATCCTTGGGGAAAAGGCCACAGAAAATAGTTTAAAATGCTAAAATGTAAAAATAAGTAAATAAAAAATAAAAGAATGAATATCTATTAATCCAGTAATGTCATTAATATTCATGAATAAATTTAACTGCCTCTTTTATTTAAAATGATTTTGATCTTCCCACGTAATATTGTTTATGTATTTCTAGGTTAAATAACATTAATTTAATGTACACAAAGGGTGACTTAAAAGACAGCAATTAATCAAAGACCAGATATAATGAAGTCTTAATTCAGGAGCAATTTTGACACCACATTGCATGAAAGCTTGAGCTGTGATGGGTTAAATTGGAAGAGCTGTTAGGAAACAGAAGGGCAGTTTCTCTAATTACTGGTCTGTATTATTAATCTTACAGGAGTGTGAAGGTTTTCACGAGTGGTATCATGAGGTAACTGTTCCGCCTGTTGCATCCATCCTCTCACTGCCGCTGCTGTCTCAAGAGAGACCCTCATTTGCTTATGTGTGTGTCTGTTCTCACAAAATGTACTGTATGACCTCATTCAAAGTTAGACTATATGGTGGTATCCCGGTGGACCTATTCTTGAAGAACTGTCTGTGTGTGTGTGCATGTGGTGGATCAGTCAGCAAGATGTTATCTGTCAGCATATATGGAACTTTGAAGTTGTCTGTGGTTTTGATGGTTGATTTTGTTTGCTTTCAGTTGTCTGGTAATCCTGTATTGACTTTTGGCTCACCCACTGATTATATAAAATCATAGATAAATGTTTAGGTATAACTTAGAAATAAAAGTAAAAAAACCCCACTAATTTTACATTTATTTAGTTATCAGAGGTTATGGTCACACTTTATTATAAGGTCCAATTCTCGCTATTAACAAACCATAAAATGCGAATTTTACCTCAATAAACTCCTAATTTGCTGCTTATTAATAGTTAGTAAGGTAGTTGTTAAGTTTAGGATTTGGGATGTAGAATATGGTTATGCAGAATATGTGCTTTATAAATACTAATAAACAGACAATATGTTAATAATAGGCATGCTAATAAGCAACTAGTTAATAGTGACAGTTATTCCCTGTACTAAAGTGCAACTGAGGTTATTTATTTGTTTACTCATTCATTCATTTTATCAGTGACAAATAAATTATCTATCAGAGGAGCCAATAATACAGATTAATACAAGCTAAAATACAAGTGACACTGAGGGGGACAAAAAGTTTTTTAATAAGATGTCCCATTAATATTTGTAGTATTACATAAGTGATTAATTAGGTGTTATTTAAGCTATTAGTTAGCACTCATCACTTTTTCCCCCCCAATTTGTATAAGTGTCACACTGTAACTGCAACTTTCACGTGGTTCTTTTGCTGCTTAGTAAATAATTTGATCTGATTTCCTTGTTTTAACATGGTCAGCGTCTGTCATGACAGTAAATTCAGTGCTCAACTCTTTATTTTAATGTGTAAGTGCTTAAAATTGATTGGCTAGAATGTAAACTTTATAGAGACTTCAAAGCAGTTTTTGTTACATGCTGACCCTGTAAGAACAAAGTAACTTTTGTAAGACAGAAGTACTTCATTTTAGGTTATGGTGTCAAGTGTGCTTCAATGCATCTCCAGCAAAACTTTCATGCAAGACTCGCCATATGGGACAAGAGTGTCTTTCTGAGTCAGCGCTTTAGGAGCGGAGCGTGACTGCCTTCACATTTATTCATACTCTATACGGGTTTCGAAGCGGATGTGACAATGTTGCATGATGTGAATTTATGCTGATTCAATAACAAATTTATATTAAGCATGTATAAGGACAATATCAGGGCTCAACAATAAATTTGATCACCACAAAAATTATATTAAATAATCTTCAAAACATATTTTTGTATTGTATATGTTTCTTTAAAGGAAGTGAAAAAAATATGTGTGTGTGTGTGTGTGTGTATATATATATATATATATATATAGTTTTTTATTGTGAGTAAAATATGATTTTTAACCCATTCCATCAACTGGCCCAAAATTAAGCTTTAGCGTTAGTTCTGGCAGGTCAGATTCTAAATAAATAAATAAATAAATAACACTAAGCAGTGCATTTTCATCTGTGATAATATATAATACATGTATTATATGTATATAATACATGAATTATAAATGTATTATAATTCAGAATGATTTCAGAAGGATCTTGTGACTGGAGTAATAACTTTTGATTCAGCTTTACCATCAAATAAATAAATTACACTGGAAAAAAAGAAAACAGAAAACACTTATTTTAAATTGTAATCATATTTTACAATATGAATGTTTTTATTGAATTGTTGATCAAATAAATGTAGCCTTGGAGAACATAAGAGAGCATATATTTTTCCCTGCCAGTATTATTTGAGTATTATTCAGTAATACATATACAGCATTAAAGGTAACCTGGTGACAGTATAAACATTGTAAAAAGTGAAAATGCATAATCTGATCCTTAATGACTTACATAACCAGTTAATTTAAATATTACGTGACAAAACGTACACTGTATAAAGTGGAGATTACGTGATTTAGTTTCATGTAATTCACTCACTACACAATCACATGATCTGCTTTGTGTCAATTGTAGGTAACCTGGGAATTTTTCGGCCAGAGCTGTTTGTGTTTCCTGAAGCTGAATCTTCCTGTGTGTCAGATAATGGTAAAATCACCTTCTTAATATTAGCAGCCATAAGCAGTTAGTGACAGTTACTTCACGCTTTTATGTCTGTCTAGCAGTTTTGGTAGGAACAGGAATTAGATCAACATGTCCTTTGATGTGGTGCGCATATCAAGCACAGCTAATGCTTTTCAAAACACTGGTTTCATTGATTGTGTGTCTGCACTGTTTGTGCATTTATGGAACAGCAGTATCTTAAAATATCTAAAATATTAACATATATTAATTTCTCTTTCATATTAAATCTAGATGATAAGATGTCTCAGATATCATCTAGATCAGCAGCCTCGTGCTCCATGGCCTCTGAACTCTTGGGTCGTGCTCAGAGAAGAAAAGAGGAATTCTGGGGAAAGAGCTAATGTGCCAAAGCTCATTAATCGGTTGTGCATAGACTGAAAAATGGCCATTAATTTCTCAGGAAGTGAACATGTACATTTTTTTCTCCCATTTTTAAAATCTTTCACTGATTTGTTTTTGTGTGATTTGAATTTTTTATTCTTTTTGAATAGTCTGGTATTTAAAAGGAAACAAATATTTGTAATTTATTTTATTTACTTGCATTTTAACATGACTAGACCCAGGGCCATAGCTAGTGGGGTGAAAGGTAGTGATGATTATAAGGGCCCACGGCTGAGGGGGGGCCCCGGCAATCTCAACCGACTGGCTGAGGCCAGCCTAAAAAGACGCTCAGGACAGTTGACGGGCCACTGCTGCGCATCGTCACGAAAGCTGATCATTTGCACGTGTTTTTAAGCCTTGCCGATTTAAACATTCAAAAGAGTGAAACACAAGACGCGGAAAAACTCAACTGAGTACCTGCGCGGTGTTCGGTGCGCACGCAGAGAGCCGCGTCTCATGGACAGCAACACCGAACCGAGCTCTCCTTCGCACCCTCCTGCACCCGAACGAACAAATACAAATCGCAGTTTAAACATGCAAACAGAAAAATGTGAAAAGCCCAATTCAGCACCCGTGCGCGGTGTTCTGTGCGCACAGGGCGCACGCAGAGAGGCGCGTCTCAAAGCGCCTGAACACCGAATTTTCCTTTTCTTGCTCTTGTACCGAAAAAAACATATAAAAATTGTCAAAATACCCGTTTTGAAGAGTATCCTCGAAAATAATGGTCGGTTATGTCTTAAGTGAAAGTAAACAGTGGAGAAAGAAATCGGATGTGTATCATTATAATGGATCCATTGTCTCTTAAAGTGACCGCGCAACTAGTCTTTGTTTAGCAACTAGCTTCTGTCGGTGTCCTTAATGTTAATCCAGCCGCGTCTCATGGACAGCAACACCGAACCGAGCTCTCCTTCGCACCCTCCTGCACCCGAACGAACAAATACAAATCGCAGTTTAAACATGCAAACAGAAAAAGATGTGAAAAGCCCAATTCAGCACCCGTGCGCGGTGTTCTGTGCGCACAGGGCGCACGCAGAGAGGCGCGTCTCAAAGCGCTTGAACACCGAATTTTCCTTTTCTTGCTCTTGTACCGAAAAAAACATACAAAAATTGTCAAAATACCCGTTTTGAAGAGTATCCTCGAAAATAATGGTCGGTTATGTCTTAAGTGAAAGTAAACAGTGGAGAAAGAAATCGGATGTGTATCATTATAATGGATCCATTGTCTCTTAAAGTGACCGCGCCTAATTTAGCAACTAGCTGCTGTCGGTGTCCTTAATGTTAATCCAAGAAAATGAAAGAAAGAAATTCACTCACTCCTCTTGACTAAATTACTTTGTAGTTTTAGCAAGAATTAATCCACAGTCAAACCAAACATTATTCAGACGCCAGATATAATTTTTGATATTTTTTTACAAGTGGGTGCAGGACACTATAGTTAATTTATGTAAGTGAGTATAGCTAAATAAATTAAACTGACATATTATACCCAAAAATTCTTCATACAGTGGACTACCAGTAAAATTGATAAAAAATATGGGACCAAAAATTATTCAAACACTTTGACCTGACCATGTTTTGCTTAAGTGTTTTTTCTTGAAATCCTAATGCGACCTTTTTACACCACAGACTGAACAAAATTAAGCATTGCTTGGTAATTGGTCAACAAAGTATTGATAGTTGTGTAAATATTGTCATACTAACAGCTGTCTGAATTTTTGGTTGATTGTAATCCATTACATACCTTTCTATCAAAGTTATCTGACATTATCAAGATGAATTTATTCTGACAGAGTTTAACTCTTGAGTTATTGTCATATTTTATTACCATTTTCTAAACTATAGCAAATAAAATGTGATCATGTGAGAAATGTTGAAGGTGTCTGAATAAATTTAGGTTTGACTGTATATTTAATTTTTACAGTGAAGACAGTGCTATTTTACATTTGATTATTCAGTTTCTGTACCTGGACACCTACAAACTTGAAAAAAACTTAAACATTGTGTAAATAGCACAAATAAATAAATAGAACGAACATACAAATTAAACAATTTCAAACAGGGCCAACTGGTACAACCTGCAATCGGGCCCCAGCTATGGCCCTGACTAGACCAATATTGTGCGTTCAGTACAAATGATTTTGCTAAGCACTATAACAGTACTCAGCATTTTACATGCACACGAAAAAACATACAGCGCAAGCTGTTTAGTCCGAAATGACTCTTGAAATGAATCGTTCCGAAACATTGTTACTGGCTTGAATCAGTCTAATGAGTTAGGCCAGTGGTTCCCAACCCTGGTCCTGGAGGCACTCCAACACTGCACGTTTTGCGTGTCTCCTTAATCAAACACACCTGATTCAGGTCATCATCTCATTAGTAGAGACTCCAAGACCTGAAAATGGAGTGTCAGAGAAAGGAGACATGCAAAATGTGCAGTGTTGGGGTGCCTCAAGGACCAGGGTTGGGAACCACTGAGTTAGGCTACTGAATGAACTCAATAAATCCAGCCACTACTGAACCATATGACTGAATCAACATATAGCCTATAGCCTCAATTTTTCCCTTAAATAAAATGTAGGCTATAGAATTAGACAGTATTAGAAAATCGATACGCTTTTATAGGTTAGCGA